CAAGTAGCTGGGGACCGGTGGGACCAAAATGTCTGCAGGCTGTAAGGAGCCTGTTGGTTCTCAGGCGTCCTCCTTTGGGTACTGGGGCACCACCTGAATCCCCCGGTTTGCTAAGACCCCAGACTCTGGTTGGGATTGGGAGAGCTTTGCAGCCCCTTGGGACAGGGGTGGGGGTGAGGCTCCTTCACAAGATGGTGGGGTAGAGCTGGAGCCCTAGGGGGTCTGTGAAGGGTCCCCAACAAGATCGACCTGTTGATTAGGGGACCCCACCATGACCTCCTCTGTTGCAGGACTAAGGGGCTGGCTGGAGGTGAGGTTTTTCTGGGAGGGGGAGGGAAGAGACCCGTTAGGCACTGGGTTGGTCTCAGCATCTGCCTTGGGGTCCTGAGAAAGGGCACCTCCTCCCTCAGGACTCACCGGGATGAGCCCCAGGACCTCTGTATCCCCCAGATCAGAGGAAGGCAGCTCCACTGCTGGGTCTTCCTTTGGGTAGGCCTCAGCCTCAGCACCTGTGGTCTCAGGGGGTAGGCCCTGGTCAGCAGAATTAGGGTCTTCCTTCATGGGCACCTGTTTGGGACTGTCTAGCAACCCCGAAACTTCCTCCACAGGGATCACCCATTTGATCTTTCCTGGGGTGGGGTTTCAGGCATAGCTGGGGAAACCCCCAAAGGCTGGGTCACTCCTTCCCCCCGGGGGGGTGGTCTTGGGATGGGGAGAGGAGTCCTCCACATCAGAGGGCTCCATCTGTGCCTGGGTTTTCCTCTTGCCTTTGCGCCCGGAGGGGACCTGCACCCACTCAGCCATGCAGTGGTCCTCAGGTGGACAGGCTCCAGTAGAAGAAGGTGAGGGTTTGGGGGTGAGGCAACTCTGACGAGGGCATGACTAAGGGCAAGGGGGTACCGCTCCTTCTCTCCCCTTGGTGCTGCTGCCCTCCCCAAGACTCCGTCAAACTTGTTTGGGAGGTGGGGTCCCTTGAGCTCACGGTGGGGTTTGTAGGTGTGACTGGGGTACCAAGGGGGCCTGAAGGGGGGGGGGGTGCTGGTGGTACGGGCACCCCTCTTGGCAGTGGGACTCACAGATGCCCTCCCTGCCTGGCCTATGGAGCACTGATGATGCAGGTGCCCTGGGGCATGGCACCGGAAGCACCACAGGTCCCCCATTGTATAGAAAATTCTAACCAGGGCCCCCTGATAAGGAACTGCCAGGCACCCCTCAGCCTCCAGCTGTGCTCCCACCACCAGCTGGATCATAACCTGGTGACAGAAAGAGTGCATGTGGCAGAGGCCAGGGTCTTGGCACCCAAGCAAGGGGGCCACCACTGGGGAGATAACTCTCCCCAGGGTTTGGAGCTGAGGGATCAGGGCCCAATTGGGGATATAGGGAGGGATGGAGCCAAGGACCACCCTAGTTCCCAGCTCTTCTAGAGGCTTGAGGGGGATGTATTCGCCCTCCACCATGAGCCCCCTCTCCACCACCTTGTGTGGCGGCCTCCGATGCAAGGAAAAAGATCCCCTTACCATGAAAGTGGGAGGCTACCATGATCTTGGAGGTCCCCACTACCTAAGTCAGGGCCTGCACCCAGGTCTCAAAGTGCAGGTTCTCCCGCTTGGGCAGTTGGCACTACATCCTGTGCCTGCAGGTGAGTGCCGGAAAAGGGGCCCCACTGCCTAAGCTGGAAGGGCCGGTGGTGGAGGGTCCAGGGCCCCCGACTTCAGGTCTCCTTGTAGCTGCCTATGCATAGCTGTGGTTCCCCCGCAGGGGGGCCCGTATTTGTGGGGCTGGGGCTAGGGCCAGGGCCAGGCTGAGTGAGTGTGCTGGCTGGTGTAGCACACCTGGTCCCCTCAGGTGCTGGTGGTCTACGCTTGAGGGCAGGGCCCTTGCCCGTCCCACCGCCAGCTGTGGAAGAGGCTGAAGAGGAGCCCTTCCCACTGCCCTTGCCCCTGGTCCCTGATGATGGGAGAGGGGGCTAGGGAACCCCTCTGGGGGTGGGATCTGGCCATGGGAAACCCCCTGGCCCTGTTGGTTCCCTATCTGAGTCCTGCCTGCCCCTGCGACAGAGGTTGCAGGCTTCTCCACCCCCAGAGGAGGTTGGTCGGACTCTACCTCCAGGGTGGAGGCTGCAGGGGCATGCATCCCCTTGGGGGCTTGGCTGGGATGTGCCCCCACAGTTGGGGATGCAGGAAGCTCTGTGGGGGCATCTCCCCCCAGAAGGTTCCTGCCCTGGCATTATTTCACATGAGGGCAGGGAAGACAATAAAGAAAAAAATATCCAGTGGGGCTTGTGAATCTAGTAGGGGCAGGCTCGGGTTGTGGGGGAGAAGAGGGATAGAGAGGAAGGGGGCTGAAGCTTCACTGGAGCTACAGCCCCACAGGAAAAAAAATGGGAGGGCTGTGCTTTGAGAATGTGGGGGGAGGTGGAAAACACAAGGGCTGGGGAAACTCAAGCTGGCTTACTCAGCCAAACACCAGGGCAGAGGCAATGGACCAAAGGACTTACGACACAAGGGCAAGAACAGACAGAGAAGGCTGCTGAGGCAGGTGTAAGAGATGGCTGGAGCAGTGGAAGGGCTTTGTTTGTTGAAGATCTGTCCAGGAGCCCCTCAGGCCTTCAGTCAGGCATAGGCAGGAAGACAAACCAGGATCAGATGCAGTGAGGTAGCTCTGGGGGCAGGGCAGGAGCAGTCAGCCAATTAGGGAGTAATCCCAGTGCAGGTGTGGTGTCAGGTGGTGCAGCAGGGAATCTCCTCCTGAGAGGGGGCAGCAGCAGAACAACAGCATTAACAGCAGCAGCAGTGATAGTAGAAGCCGTCCAGTTCAGCCACTCAGGGTGTGCTTCTGGTGGAAGTGGAGGTGAAGGTGGGGGTTGGCCTGCCAGGGCAGCTGGAGCAGGCAAGGTACCTTTAGGCTCCAGCAGTGATGGTGTGGGAGGGGTCCACAGGCAGCGCAAGCTCCCTCCCCAGGCTGTCCCCCAATTGTGGCTTGGCAGCAGGCTGGACAGCAGGCTGGAACAGGGGTGCAGAAGCTGGGGTGCGGTGGGCCCCTTCCAGAGGGGGGGGCAGCAGCAGCAGCCCAAGGCAGGAAGGGGTGTGGCCATCTTACTCCCAAAAGCTCTGAGACCAAGCTAGCAGTAAGCCAGAAGCAGGGAAGGGCCATCTTCTCCCCAGAAACTCCTGGAAACCAAGCTTGCAGCAACCAGCAACAGCAACATCAGCAGCAGCCTGGGACAGAAAGAGGCACGGTCAGCTTCCAAAGGCTCTTCCCCCAGAAGCTCCTGAGGGCAAGTAGCCTTGAGCTGCTTACCAGCGCAGCTTGTTGTACTGCTGGGGCCAGGCTACAGGCGCTGGCCCCAGCCTGTAGCTCCCCTTGGCTGAAGATCTGGGAGGAGCCATGCAGGCTCAGTTTGCCCCAAGTGGGACAATTTGCCCCACATCAAAGTGTATGTCCAGACATGTGTGCTGAGGCACAAATCTCTAGCACATATTTGTGCCACTGCTATCTGAGCTGCTGCAAGCACATGTGCCTGCATGTGTGGATATTTCGTTCCTTAGGGACAAGCAGCAGTGGTGTACCTTGCACTGCTGCTACTTGTCCCGGGGGAACGCCCATGCCATGCATGCTTTGGCATGTGGCAAGTTGCCCCAGGTGGGGTAGGGGAGGCTGGGGCCAGCACTGGGCTGGCCCCAGCAGCCTTACCTGGAGTCCTGGGGGGTTCCCGGGGCTGCAGTCATGGCGATTCTGCCATGCAGAGCCTGGCCGGCAGCTGCAGAGTGGCCCCAGGTAGCCCGGCTCCGCTTTTCAGCAGTGCGCACTGGCCAAGACTGCATTGCACCAGTTTTTTTCCCCTACAGTTTGTTTGTTTTTTACCCCTGGGTATCCAGGGGTCAAAAAAACCTGCAGAAAAAAATGCCCAGTGCAGCACGCACTTGTGCAGCGTGCCATGCAGTGCGGAGAACACTGGACTGTATGGTATGTGGCACTGCAGACATGTTTGCAGCACCACATACCGCTCAACCGTGCATGTCTGGATGTGCCCAGGGTGATTATATTTGGCTACAGGGCAAAATAAAATCTGAAACTGTGTTTAAGTGCCAAAATATGCAGTTAGGTGGTTTCACATATGCCATTTAGGCATGTAAAGTAAAGTAGAATTTATCCCTGGTCTCCTGTTGACAGTGCTTGTGTTAAGCAAATGGCAACAATAATTAAGTCTATTATATGTAGTCTTTATCATGCTTTTAACAATACCCACCTATTTTACATTTGAGATTCTCTGTTGTCAACAGAAAATTAGAAAATGATGGCTTTATGAAACAAATCGAAGATTATTTTTAGTGCAATAAAAATATTTAATCTCTGCAAAAGTGTTTCAAGAAGTTGGCATTTCATGTTTGTCATCCAAGTCTTTGCAATGATTAGTGGGTTTGATAACTTGTTAAAAAAAGCATTTTCAATTGAATATTGATGGAATTTTTGGATGCTTTTTGTAAATCAATATGGTGTCATAGAGGGGCCCAGCAACCTTTTGCTGGCACAGGCTGGAGCTTGTGATCTGGATGTCACTGTAAAGTGACATGTCTCCATCCTTCTCCACTTGCTCCCCACCATCTGAGCCACCAGCTGCCAGATACCTGGCCCCTCTGCAGCAAGGATAAACTCAGATGCTGTGGAGCAGCAGAGGGGAGTGCTGTGGACGGGTAGGCAGCATAGCAGAGTTCTATGACGCTGATTCCCTGTGCTGGATCAGGTATCTGTGGGCTGGATCAGACTTCTTTACAGGCTGAATCTGGACCACAGACTTTAGGTTGCCAATTTTATGTTCTGTGCCCATCACCATTCCACTATGAGCCTTTCCAGCTCAGTAAATTTCTTACGTTTAGGGATTCACATTAAGTAGCCTCATTAGGTTTTTACTTAGTTTTTCATTTTGAGAAGCAGCTCTATTTATATGTTCTGTTGATTTAACCAGACAAAAAGCTTCATATTGATATTTTTCATTGTAGGTGATGTCAAGAAATTATTAAGAGAGCTAGATGTCACAAATTCACTCATAGCTCGGTTGGTGCCAGAAGGTAACTTGCAATGACACTTCTTTGTACAAAAATACTGTCAGAAGTCATTTCTTGTTGCCATTTGATCAGGCAATTTAATAGAAAGCTTCCTTGTAAGTTATGATTTGTCATAACACATTTTAGATAAGTGATTGACCTTGTGCTTTTATAGACACAGCTCAGTTATTCACGAGTAGTATGGCATGTTATGTAGATTAAATAGCAGATTTATAGAAAAGTCAGATAAGATTAACAGCAAATGTTATTGACTTTCAAATAATATTTTAAATGGTTGGATGAATGAACATGTACCATGTTATATAAAATCTAACTGAACTACTTTATTTTCACCCTGTAGAAGATGTTATCATCCATGAATTTGCTAGTCTTTGTCTAGCACATATGGCAGTTGAATATACCAGTAAAGTGCAAATATTTGAGCAAGGTGGGTTAGAACCACTTATCAGACTGCTAAGTAGCCCTGATCCTGACGTTAAGAAGAACTCAGTTGAATGCATCTATCACTTGGTTCAGGTAAAACATTATTTTAAATTTCTCTATAGAGATTGATCTTTTTTTTTTTCTTGTAATAAATAGACTTAATTGATTTATTTAAAGAACTTAAAACTCAAAGCACATAATTCTTATTCTAGCTACAGTTTTCCATTAAAATAACTTTGTTGACCTTGGTGCAGTTTTTTCTTGATTTACAGAAGTGTGAGATCTCCATCAAACCCCAAAATGTTAAAAAAAAATGGAAATCCCTTTTCTAATTTGAAAGATTTTAGCTGAAAATTGAGGGTTATAGAACATTCTTCCTAAGCTCTGAACAAAACTGCACAGATGAAGTAATTAAAATTTGTGTCTTGCCTGGTTCTGGCCAACAAGCTCTCTAAGTTAGGGATTGAACTTCTTTCCAACTGTAGGTAAATAATGTTGGCACCTACTTTCTGGAATTGGAAGGAAAGTATTATCACTGGCTACTTGGTCACAATCACCACTAATGTCACCCATATGCTGCTTAGCAAAAGAATGGTGTATTTGTATAGTAGTTCTTTTCAGAGGCTTAAGTGAATCAGTTCAATAATGAATTCAATTCATGAGGCTATCTTTTTTGGGGCATCAGAGCATGTCTTTATTCTGAATCACATTTTGCTGTTTCTCTTCTCTTGCTATCTGGTTGGCTTTGTTGTAGGGTATATCAGGATAACTGCACCTGGTGCTTGCTTAAAGTGATAAGGAAAAATCGCATGCTGCGCATGTGCAATGTGCTGTTTTAACCAATTGTAACTTCTTCGTTTCTTAACCATGTTTAATATGATTTAGCATGGAATCTCATCAAGCAATATGTGAATGTGTGTGTGTGCACACATATATATACACATACAAAATCATAAATATAAACAATCCGTTTTAAGTTTTCAAAGCATGGAAAAGAGATGAAACAGGGCAGATACCTTGAAGTGTAAAAAATCTCTATTTTCACATTTTAAATAATTTAAAATGATCAAACTAAATTTTATCATGCTTTCCCAAAAATCCACACATGAGTTGTAATGAACACAAGTGTTTTCAGCTTATTTTCCCCGCTTTACATGCTAACAATAAGTTCTTAGAATGAGTCTATCCTCAGCCATAATGGGGCAGTATAATGAATACTTTAGTTACAAAATTGTTTGAATTTTTTTTAGCATTGTTTTGGAATATTTTATTCCATATCCACTCTTAGCCAAAATGGAAAAAATCTTTAGAGCTCCACGTTCCAAAGCATTAACTCATTATATGTTTGAAACTATAGTTTCTCTGTTTTTTTTCTGAAGAGACAGGAACCAGCGTGCTGTTTTGTTTCTGTTTCACTTACATTGTTACAATTTCATATTTTACTACAGGATTTTCAAAGTCGTGCTGCAGTTCATGAGCTAAATGTGATTCCTCCTTTGCTGGAACTGCTGAAATCTGAATATCCAGTTATTCAGCTATTAGCACTCAAAACACTGGGTGTAATTAGCAATGATAAAGAAACCAGGATAATACTGAGAGAAAATCAAGGATTAGATCATCTTTTTAAGATACTAGAAACTAAGGTATACTTTACTAGAAATATTCATTCAACTATAAAATAATCATGAAAAAGTGGGTGTCAAATATTTTCCATCCAAACTTCACCCACAGAAAATTTCAGCTAAGAGAAAGAAACATCATTGTCTAAAGTCTGTAACTGAGGGAAATAATATATTTTTTAAACAAGTTCTAGTAGCATGTTTTATTGTATTGCTCTATTTGATGCTATCAGGGAGATGACAAGTTTAGAGAATAAATCAACTTCAGAGGATTGTATCTTTATGCTATCTCTGTGAAAAGGCAAACAAAATCCTTTTTTTTTCTCTGCACTTCCTGGGCACGTCCACACATGCAAGCACGTGCGCTTGCAGCAGCACAAATAGAAGCTGTGCAAATTTGAGCTGGGGCCTTTTGCTTCAGCACACGTGCTCGGACATGCACTTTGGTGTGGAGCAAATTGTGCCACTTGGGGCAAAATAATCCTGCCTGGCTCCTCCCACACCTTCAGCCAGGGGGAGCTAGAGCCCAGGGCCAGCACCTGTGCTGTCCCCAGCAGTATAAAAAGCTGCTCTGTCCTAACCCCAGCAGTATAAAAAACGGCCCTGGCAAGTAGCTCAGGGCTACTAGCTCTCAGGAGCTTCTGGGGCCCAGCCAATTGGTACCTGGGGACACTACCCCTTGTGCCAGTTGGACTGCTGAAGCGGCCGTGAGAGTTCCCTGCACCCTCTACCCACTGCAGCAGTCTGGCAGTGGGGGCTGCTGCCTGGCTGTGACCTGCTGTGCACCTGCCAGACTCAGATAGGAACTGCAGAGCCAGTAGAGGTGTCTGCCCCTCTGGGCCAGCTGCCAGTGGACTGTGGTTGCAGGGTTGGCCTCTGTATGGCACTACTGCCATGTGTGCCCCCTGCCCAGCCATCTGGGCAGCTATTGCCCAGAAGATGTTCCGGGTGTGGTGGCCTGCTTTGAATTGTCAAAGCATGTCCTCCTGGCCCCATTTGGCCAGGAGGTCAGCTACAGCCAGCTGGGTCCAAGGTGCCAGCTCTGAGCAGGCAGGGTCCCTAGCAGGAATTCTGGTGTTCCCTGTTGGAAAACTGAAAAATCCCTGATTAAAAAAAAAATCCCAAAGTCACTCTGTAAAATACCCCCAAATCCATGTTCCTCCACAAGTAAAACAAAAGACCACTATACTGAGAGAGAGCAAGACAGAGACAGCGATCAGTTGGACAATGTTTTATTGATATATCTACAGTGGTAAAGCAATTCTCTTCTCATAATAATAAACTGAACTCTAAATACAGGTTTCATGGATTCATGAATACACGTTTTGCTGCACAAGGAGATGACCCCACACAAGGGGTTCAGCCCCCCAACAGGGGGTTTAGTCCCCAAACAAGGGCTTTGCCCCCCCAACAGGGGTTTCAACCCCCAAACAAGTGGTACCACCCCCAAACAAGGGGTTTGGCCCCCAACAGGGGATTCAGCCCCAAACACCTCCTAACGGGGGATTCAGACCCCACACAAGGGGTACACCCCCCAATGGGGGCCAAATGGCCCCCGCAGGGGCTACCACCCCTCTTCAAGGCCCACATGCCCCCCCCACCTGCCTCCCCCCCGGCCCCA